AAATATCGCAGTTTTCGTATTTCTTAAAATTACCGTTATATGGGAGGAAGGCGTGGTTATTATCCGATTTCGCCCATTTTCAATACCATCCGTCCCACGCCCAAAAGAAGTTCACGTACCAAGTTTCGTTAAGATATCTCAATTTTTACTCGAGTTATCGTGTGCACAGACGGACGGACGGACGGACGGACGGACAGACAGTCACCGCTTAATCGATTTCTCTTTTCATTCTGATCATTTATGTATACATTTGTCTATATCTATCTCGATTCGTTTTGCCTGTTACAAACAACCGTTATGTGAACAAAGTTATAATACCCTTGTGCACAAGTGCGCTCGGGTATAAAAATTTTAATTAGAAGCCAGTGTCTCAGTTTGCTTCAAGAAGCAAACCTTATACTTAAGAATGTTTAAAAGTACCAATCACCCCTATTCTGGTAGTCGTAAGTCGTTCGTTGAATTATGTCGTCAATTAAAGCATTAACGACGGATTTTAATACGTTTTCGATACTTCTTCATTTCGAAAGGATAATATGAATAAAAATTTGTAGTAGATTATGTCATTGTTTGCCTCTTAATGCCAATGAAAATCTCAAATTTCGACGAACGACTGTCGTTCCGGCAATCGGAATAGGGGCGAATATTTAGGGACTCAATCTATAATTTCTCATGGCTTAATTAATTTTTTCAACTACGCAAAAACTTTGAAAGACTAAGAATTCGCTAAAAAGAGTATCTAACTCTTTGTCTTGTATGCAAAACTCTTTTACAATGTCAGTAAATTGTGAAAAAAGAATTTTAAGTTATAGGCAAAAGCCATTCGAATATTCAAATTTATTAAACTAAAAGTTATTTTCGAGATAACTAGCAACACTTGACAAAAAAAGTAAGCCTTCTTTTTAAATAACTTAAGCTCCATCATATTATCGCAACTAGTATGTAATAGAGGTTTACGCCGACGCGTTTGGAATCGCCGGCGCTACAGCCCATTAGGTACATTCCAAGGGGCTATGAGGTCACTAATCTTATCATGTCCTCTCGTCAGCGTTAGGCATTCGCCATGCCAATTCAGATTATAATTCTATTTAATTCATTCATTGAATTAGTTTTAAATTTAAATTACGTTATTTCCTACTTGAATTAAAATGTTGAGTGTCTGGCGGTTTAAAAAAAATGGCTTATAGATGGTTAAAGTTTCCACTAAAATATTAAGCGCCAAATTTTTCTAAGGAGAACCGATTGTAATGAAAAATAATAATAATTTTTACCAAAAAGGGGGAACTTTAACCCTGTGTAGAAAACAATGCGATTCGAGGGAGCAAAACTTCCTGGGGTTTGACCACCACTAAGGAATGCTAACGTAGTCACCTAGTACTTGTAGGACCCCAGAATAAAATAACTTACGAATGTAAAAATTAGAATGAGGCTCTT